GTGATCCTGGTTAATGATATTGAACTGTTTGCGAAAGGGCGATAGCCAATTTTCGGTTGATATAATTGAACCCATTTTACTCAAAATGATGATTTTACGACATTTCCCTTTTTTGTCGAAAAATACACCTTATTGATGTGTAATCAATCTGACTGGTTATACCACAGTCCACAAGGGAAGTCAGAAAGTGTCACCCAACTTTATTGTCAGGTAGTTTAGCGATCCTCCTGTTCAATACTACGCTTATCGTCATGAGCCGGTGTGTTTTTCACCACTTCAAGTTCCGGGTCTTAAGTGCCGGTTTACATCACTGAATAGGAGCTCTACGCGACTATGGAGTCCAACCTGTCTGCTGTTCCTCACAAAATGTATGCAATTAAAAACTGGTTGATCTGTGACTCTATGATCGGACAAATGAAGTGGAGCTTTAAGGAAATACACTGCATTCAAAGTTACCACAAATCGCTCTATTTTAGCATAACTGTACACTGTTATTTATAGTTTTCATTAGTCGCAGTTGATGGGAATTGTTTTAAATCAATTTCAGTTTAGAATGTGAATTTACTGAAAACTATTCTTATTTAATGCAGTCATTATCTTTCACTGGTTGAAGCACGGAACATAAAATGACATTAATGCACACCGTGTTTGCATTTTGATCGGGGTTTTATTCACCGGAAGTGCATTTTTGATCGACCCCATTGCACCACAGTGTCCTGTCCTCGTTCCCCCAGCAGATATTTTATTGGCTGCGATTCCCCTTCGCAAGAAACATGTTGCAAAACTCTCTGTTCAAAAAGAAATTTGAATGTGCATAAAAAAATCTGAAAACATTTGTACTCAAGATGAATAACACAAATACAAATAAGTAAAAGAACAATTACCCTTTAATTTGTCTAACCGAGTAGTTTTGTTCTTTTGTTACGAAAACATCTTAATAAATAATTTCTCATTTTCTTACTCCACTAATTTCCTAAATGGGACTAAACTAACTGTAGGATATTCGAATTACTGCATTTAGTAGAACCCGTTCGAAGACAATCGTCACCTCGGTCGTGACTACACCCGTGTCATCCCGGGCTGCTTGTGTGTGTGTGTGTTTATGTGTCAGGCGACAGCCACAAGCCCCCATCACTAGATCAGTCCCATCCGATTGATCCAGTCGTCTCAGTGATATGCTTTTCCTGCCAGACAGACTTCCTCTTTTTTGGTGCTATCCGGATCTTGATTACCCAGTGCGCCTTTCCTGGACAAGCAGAATTTATTGGACCGTTGACCAAATTTTGTCTGATGTCCACCGAGAGATTTTCGACTTGTGCCATGTCGATATTTCGTCTGCAACTGGAATGCACTAAAACGGTTCGATAGTAATTCAAACTGTGTTTGAGGCGGAGACTTGTTGGTAACAACTTTGTCCCGTATTTCCGTCGGCAAAATACAAGAATTCAGATCTTTCATCAAAACACAACGTAACGCCTAATAAAGTGGACGTATGTTCAAGTTTTCAATTAAGATCGGCTTGAAAAATGGCAAAGACGTTTTCATCATGAAGACGTCACATGATTAAGCCAATATAATTATGAGGCATTACACATCAGACGAGAATACTTGCCCGCTGGGGCTACTAATTTCCGGCCCTGGCAAGTATAAAACCATGCAGAACAATAATGTTTTGTACAGCCGTCGACCAGCACGAAGTATCATTTCTTGGGTGAGAGCTATTGCACAGTTGGGTGAATCTGATCTGTCCGAAATTGAACACTGACATTTGATTCTCGTTAAAGGGTGATTACTGCATCCTAGTGATCTAGATAACTCTGGAAACCGGATGCACCGGATGAACTAAATAATTTCAATTTATTTGCTCTATGGACCAATTTTTGCGTTTTGTAAAAAAAACTGACGTTGGTTTGCAAGTAGCAGTTGCTTTTATAAAAATCCTGTTCGATGTTCATACACCTAACGACGATATCCGAGTTCTCTGAATTTCAAAATACAAATCCAAGTATGAAATTAACCTTTTAACCGTATTGTGGAATGTTTATCACCTTGATTCTTCTGTTATCTTTCATTTTGTTCAGCACACTGTGGTGATCATGGTGGTGATGGTGGTGGTGCTGGTGGTGCTGATGGTGGTGGTGGTGGTGGTGGTGGTGGTGGTGCTGATGGTGGTGGTGGTGGTGGTGATGATGATGGTGGTGGTGCTGATGGTGATGGTGGTTGTGATGGTGGTGGTGGTGGTGGTGGTGATTTTGGTGGTGGTGCTGATGGTGATGGTTGTGGTGATGATGGTGGTGGTGATGGTGATGGTGGTTGTGATGGTGGTGGTGGTGATGATGATGGTGATGATGGTGGTGTTGGTGGTGGTGACAGTCGTCCTCCGGGGCAATCATATTCTGTTCTGACAGGAGGTTCCATTTCATATTGTACAACGCAATTGTTCGATTTATTCCCATAAAGTGACTGATGTAATTAATTTAAGTTATATCACTGAGCACTGTTTCAAATAGTGATTATCTCCTCTAGAGCAAATAGCCTCGAAGTATCTTGATACCGCGGTTAAAATATCGAAAATTTGTTGCCGAGAGAAAAAGAATAATATTGACCTATTTGTGCGATGTCTAAAAAATTATGTTCAAGGGTTGTTTTAAATCATTTCAATATGTATGGCATCCGCTTCTATTTTTTCTACAGGTTCGGACATTATTTATTCGTTTGCTGATCTGTCACATATTACCTGAATATCGTTCCCTGAGCGCATTCAGCCAGCCATACACTTACTGCACACCAGAATAGCGTTCTAGTGCAAAACCGGAATGACGAAAATTGTGTGTGTGTGTTTACAGATTTGTCTACCAAATTTGATTGCATAGAATGCGTCAAAATAAATGTCATATCGGAAAAGAACTTTATAGATCATTTTGTTCCTTTTTTCAAATTTTACTCAGTTACACCGATCGGATGGCACTTTTTCACAAGGCATCTTTTCATACAGAAATTACCGTCAGGTCTTACTTTATGAAAAGCATACGTTAACGGATATGCAGTGGCAAAATTTTTTTTTTTTAAATGAACCGTGGTGGCCTGGAAAAAAGAAAATTTCTCATTTATGTGCCATCAGAACGCATATCTTTGATCGTCTTTCAGTTGGTTCTGCCATTTATGCGTGTTGTCTG